GCCTTTCTAGGATCCGGTAAAATGAAGCAGAGTGATAGTAATGACACCTCCTAACAGGTGAACTGTTGTAATATAGTGATGTATTAACAGGCACGATTGCCAAGGCAGCTACATTCTTTAATGATGTATGGCAACTCCTTTTATAGAATTGCTGATAACTACATAACACAGATCCTGTTGAGATAGATAGATAGATAGACAGACAGACAAACAGACAGACAAGACAGATGAATATGACTTGAAAATCTATTGAAGAATTGTTCAGAGAGACAAGATGTTTTGTACTAAGACAAAATCCAATATATATTTTCTGATTTCTAGAAGAGCTGCATATAAAGATATAACTCAAAAGTCAGACGGTAAGTGATAAAATCCATGGAAAGCTAGGAAATCCTAGCACCCAGGACTGTTCTCTCTGTAAATGTCTTATAGTGAAAAGAAATACAGGGAAAGGTATGGTGCCTCTGGATGCAACAACCATACCTTTGAGTTCTACTTAAAAATTCCCTTCATCCTCCCTTGAGCCTCACATAAGAAAGGCAGGACATAAATGAAATATAAATGAAATCAAGAAATACATTTGAAGTGACAAAGAAATGGCTTATTTAAAATAATGCTTGTCTGCAACAAAAACTTCCAACAGGTCAATTGCAGAGTCACTATAAATCTTGCCTTGCAAAAATGAATACAAAGTGCCTTGACAGTCTATTTTAAGAGATTTGGGCACTCAGGACAGAAAATACCAGATAGCCTTTTGGCAACTGAGAATATGTAGGGTTACCATTATCTGGACCCCAGAAACCAATCAACCACATGCTTCAGCAAACTTAGAGGTTTCTGCTGCCATCTAATGATGGTTTAGATTTTTCCAGCCCACAAATGGTAGCTTTCTAATGGGATGCCCTTTAAAAATTGGCCTTCATTGTTCTTTCAAACAGCTGCTGACTTTGATTAGAAGCAGGGTGAGACAGGGCCTGTTTTGGAAAACCTGTGAATCCACCTTGAGTCATTGAGAATCAGACAGCATACAAGATGTTGCTGCTGCTGTTGTTATTCTGTTGGCTCCAGCAACTTACCTGTACACCACATGGGCCTCCCAGAGGTACCTGATCTGATTGTTGCATTCCCTCTTCCTGAAATAAGGGGATAATGAAGCAAAGACCTAAAAGAGACAACCCGAATTTTCACCAAAAGTGAAACCCAGTGCAGGCAAAGAAGAAGGAACGTTTCTGGTGATTTGTAAACACTGAGTGGGATCCTTCCATCTCCAACAGGCACTCCATGTTGAATAGAGACAACATGGAGACAGGCATCAGGAAAGGATCCTGGAAGGGCAACACCTTTCTCTCATGCCCAACTTCCAAAGCCTTTCGTCTTGCTTCTTTGCGTGTATAAAAGGAGAGGGGGGTGTTACTGCAGCTGTTTGCAAGAGAACCAGACAAAGAGAGAAAAAATCTCTGTATATCAAATGCATTCAACCACACAATGATCAAAATAAGAATCGATTTCCTCAGTGCAAGGAGTTCAGTGGAAAGAATAAACACTAAAGAGTCCCGGTTTTCCATCATCACAAGGTTTCATGCTGAAATACACATATCCTCATTACTTTGCAGGTACCTCAAATCTGTTTCATGTGCTGGGAAAAATAATGCTTTATAGTGCTATTTTAAGACAAGGGTGAGCTGATGGGAGTTCAATTATCTAAGGAAATGTATTTAGATAAGGAGTAAAACTTAGCAGAACTATTACCATTTTCAGGAGGGCAAGACCTTTCCTGGTTAATATTTTAAAATACATTAAAAGCCTCACTTGCATTGTCTGCACACCTCTGCCCTATCATTCTATTATAAGAATCTTCAAAGGAAATGGCGCTGTAAATGTGCAAATTAAAGCTGTGTGCCTTGAGGAAATTTAGTTTAATACCTATTCCCACATGAACATGGAATACAGAATATATATGTGTAAGAGGGTCAAAAGGGAGCTGAGGAAGAATTTTTCCTAGATCAGTGATCCCCACGATACCATTGAAATGTACTGGGCAATAACTCCAACCATTCTTACTAAGAGATATCATTAAATATGATTATATACCGTTTATCCTGTTCTTCATAGGTGACATTTCTTGCTAGCTGAGGTTCTTGTGAGCTGTAGTTCAAAACACTTCTGGCCAATGTCAGTCCACCTTTTTCTAATCTGGAGCTGTGTTTGTCTATAACCACCATCATCTCTCAGCAGAGTGAACCACCATACTTTCTGGGAACAAGAATTGTGCTTTTCTGATCCTTTTGGAGCTAAGGAACTATATCGAGGAAGGCTAACTTAAATCATGGATATAGGAATATGATAGCCTGCAGATTTATTTATTTTAAAGTGTGTGCTGGCCTTAGGAGAAATTCACTTGCCAATCAGATTCTGACAAGACTGAGCAAAGCCATTTGAGAGTCAATTATGGGCAGAGAGCCCTTATCTCTATCTCCCCCTCCCCCCCCCCGCAATGGACCGTCTTAACCAGAGGCTCCACTTCCAGCTGTTTCCAGCAACGGCCCTTTGAAGAGATTTGTTGGATGTCCTGAACCTTCCAGCTCGTTTCTTCGGGAAGTTGTTTGCCTCCCCCTGTCGCAGTGGGAAGCTTCGATCTCCATCCGTGACAGCAGCTCGCAGCAAATGGAAAGCGCAGATAACCGCCCCATTGCCTCCAAACTACACTCGCTTGCTGCAGTTGCACGTAAGAATAACAGTGGGGCCAGAGGGAAGTACCGTATATTCATTCTCTCTCTCTCTCTCTCTCTCTCTCTCACACACACACACACACACACTCACACACACTCAGTCGTGCTGGGTGGAACGCGCGCGCGCGCTCCATCCCCAATGGGCAGGCAGGGGGACACAGACAGGCGCTGCCTCGTGCCGAAAAAAAGGCAACAACGCTGCGCGCCAACTCTGTGCCTGTATGTGTAACATAGCTGCGCACCATGCGTGCTTCTACGCGGCCCACGTGCTCCTAGCGCTATCCCAATACAAACCGATCCTGTATGGTTGGCTTTGCCGCCTCAGCCGACTACTGCTGCTGCCGCCGCCGCCGCCGCTTGTCCGTCTCGCTCGTCCAGTTCCGTCGCCTCGGTTCCAAAGACCGAGCCTGGGTGATTGAGACGGTGCAGACGGTCGGGAGAGCACCCACTGTTCCTAGGATGGCTGAAAAACCGCAGCAGGTTCCTGACATTTCTTTGCGAAGGAAGAGAGGCAAAAGGAAAAAGGAGGACCGCGAAAGCAAAGAAGGAGAGAGGAAGAAAGCCACCGCCAGGCATAGATCGGTCTTCTGCTCAGCTTTGTTTTGTTTTCTAATTGGTCTCCAGCGACGCGCGGGGGAATTTGGGTCGGAGGCAGAACGCCACTCAAGCACCGCTCAGAGGATTTAATTGGCCCCCCTCCCCCTCCCCTCTTAACTAGAGGAAATCAAACGGGGGAAAAGGGGGGGGGAAGAGAAGTACACATGACTCACAGACAAATCTTGCAAGCTTATACGCTTAATTAGAGGCCGCAATTAGCAGGTTGCCCTTTGCTCGGGAGAATTCTCTTTACTGAGCCATCTAGGAAATGCGGACGGCGGCGATGGTTTGGACAAGGAAGCTATTTTAAAAGAAGACAATCTAAATTGTTAATGCTTATAGGTCCGTCTCATCGGTCGAACGTCTGAAAATAAAAGAGACCCAAGCGAGCCTGCCAGTTAAGCGCAGTAACAATTTTCGCCCGCTATAAGTGGCGGCGAACTGCAGCTGTGGCATGCGGGTCATTTGGGGGGGGGGGGTTAAGGCATTATTCTTCTAGGAAGGGGCGGAGCCGGCGGTTCACACGCCCTTTCCATAGAGCACCCTTTGCTTTTCAAGTTGAAAGCCACTTTCTGAAAGTTCCTTATTCTTCTGCTCCCCGAAGTTACAGTTAGAAAATATCCGTCTTCCCCGCCATCGGGAGGAAGAGGGGCGGAAGTCTGCACCTCTGTGGGAAGTAAAGGAAGAGAGGCAAGTTTTTAATCGCTACTACACCACCACTTAGCGAGCAGAAACTTTGCGTCTGTGAGTGGAGGAGGAGGAAAAGTCGCATCCACGAACTGGACAAAAGCGACCGGAAAGGGTGGAAAGGGCAGAAAAGCCCAGGGTTCATTGAGCAAGGCGGTTTTGGTGAGCGCGATGCGGTACATTGCGGTTGAACAAGATCAGCTTGGCAGCTAAAAGAAGCCAAGAAGTTTTTTTTTTTTCTTTTTAATGGAATACAGGAAAAGACGCCCAAGAGGACTCATCCTTGCGTTGAATTAATTTCAAAACCGGCGTTGTTCCAGCAAAAGCAGGGAGAGGAGAAATAAAAAGCAGCTTATAGGCAAGAAACTGAGAATTACCTTTCGCCCCAGCTGCTGCATTTCTTCCCCACCCAGCGCACACCCATCCCACCCCTCCTCCTCGCTCCCCCCCCCGATTGTTCCCGGGGTTGCAACCTGGGGCTTATTAGCTAAACGACCCCCTCCCGTCCCCCGAATCTGTGTCTTTCGCTGTCTCTGCCTCTTTCAAGTTGGCCCCAGTTGGCAGGCAGTTTGGGAAGCTGAAGCGTTCAGAGAGCACTTGACGTTTCTTTCAGCACAAACGTGATTGAAAAGATCGGGGCACCGCCGAAGGGCAGAATCGCCGAAGTTTCTCTGGATTTGCTTCACCACCGCTGGATCGCCTCTTCTCCCTAGTGACTTTTTCTTTATTCGGTTAAGAAGGCCACCCTCCATTTATTTTTCTCCCCCCCCCCCCTTCGTGCATCTGGGCGTGAGTGAGTGAGGCTTGTGTTTATTTTCTTCTCGGAGCTTGGGGAGAGGAGGACGGGGCAACAAGACCCCCGGCTTGCCTGCTTCCCTCCCCCCACATACATACACGCACCTTTCGCCCCCCCCCCTCCGCAACTCCTGCTCCAGGTCTGGAGCGGAGCTGTTTCACTCGGTTCCGACAGCCTATGTGCGCGTCTGTTTAGGAGGAGAGCGCGAGCTTCCCGGGAGGCAGATTGGCTGACTCGAGTTCGCCAGCCGGGCTGAGGCGTCTCCCTGGCCGGCCCCTGCTTTCTTCTTCTCCGGAGCTCCATCCCTCCCCTGCTTCAAGGCCGCCGAAAGTGGGGTACCAATAAACGGGATTTTTACGCTCTTCGCCTTTTTTCTTGGATCCACCATCTGAGGCTGTCTGGGTTCGCCTTTGGGTCTGGCTTCTCATTCTTCGCTGGCTATGAAGAAGGTTCTGTCTTGAAGATGGAGACTCTCTGGCTTTTATTTCTCTCGCTGGTCCCGGTGTACATCAGGGGACAAGGGGTTTATGGTAAGAGGCAAGGTAGTTTTCGTCTTCGGGAGGAAATAAAAGACTGAAGGGGTTTTTGGGAGGGGAGAGGGAAGTAGGGATTGGAGGGCTGTGCTGTAATCGGATCAAAGTTTCTGAGGTGTTCGTTTTCGGAAAGCACCTGCAGCGGAAGAAAGTAAATGACCCTGGATAGAATTAAGGGTGGGAAGTTCCCGATGCGACCCCATCCAGCTACTTTGTAATCTCTTTGCCGCCGTTCCTCTCCTCTAACCTCGACCCTCCTATGATTTACGAAACCGAAGGTGTTTGTGCTCTTTTTTTTTTTTATCCCCTGAAAGCCTCCGTCTGAGCTGCACGAGGAAAAAAAAATTGGAAGCTGCGAGATTCCGTTCGGTGGAAAACAAACCAACTTGTTCCTAAACAGAAAAGGCGCCCTTAAAGAACGGTGGGCCATTCGTGCGTCTCCAGCCTCTGCTGATCTTTGGGAAGACAAAGCTGGCCCGTCTACCTTCCTTCCTTCCCTCCCCCTTCCTTTTCTGTGCTCTTGTCCCCTTTTGGATCGCCCATTCCCGTTACTAAAACGACCCGCCAACCTTTTTTCCCTCTCCCTTTTTTTGCCAATATGGATTACTTGTCGACTTGCTTTTCCTTTTCAAAGAGAGGGTTGTTATACGCCTGAGGAGCCTAGAAGGGGGCAAACGGTTTTTGTGGTGTTTTTTTCTCCCTATCGGCTCCTAAGATATCTTCCGATCGTGTGTGCGTGTGTGGGGAGAAAACAGGCCGATTGTGCCTGGAAAAGGGACCCGTTCTCTTTCTGCCACGAGGCGGCGGGAGGTGTGATTCGGGGGCTTGCCTCCGACTCGCAAGAAAGGCGTCCCGCTCCAGTCGTCACTGAGCTCTGGAGAATTTAAAATGAAGCGGGACTGAGCGAGCTCTGCAAAACAGCACAGCGCATGCACGGGCACCGTTGCTGCTGGGATTCCTCCCCCCCCCCCCTTCGCTCCTCCCGGGATTGGGGAGAGGAGCTTGGGGAGCTCCAGCGACGGCAAAGGCTAAAGGCTGGCGCCAGACAGGAGCGGGCGGTGGTGGGCAATGAGCGTTCCCGCCTGCAGACCGAGTGTTGTGCTTGGAGCGATGCTTGGAACGAAAGATTTTTTTTAAAAAAAAAAAAAGGCAACGGGGAACCTTTAGTATAGTAGTTCCGCGGATCACGCTGTCCCTCGCTTTTCTTGCTACTGTTTTAAAAGACCCCCCCCTCCTTTTTTAAAAAAAAAAAAAACGAGGATTGGGGGAAGGAGATCCGTTCCACAGATTTAGTGAAGAAGTTGGTATCCCGTTCACACGCAGGAACACAAAACTTGGCAGAAGCAGCTGCCACGCTTGTCAGGGGTACCCCTAGAAGAAACACAAGGTGATTTATCCCTTGGCAGCATAAAGGAAAGGCAGTGGCACACGCGCTTGCCTCCTCCAGATGCCAAGGATGGGGCAGTCACCGCTTTTGTGTAGCCATGGTGAAGACCTCAGCTTCCTAAGGCATAGCATCACCTTGCTCTTTTGCACAACTGCCTTGTTTATCCATAGCTGTAAAATCAAATGCTCCAAACTCCTCTTCCTTTCCATCCCTGCAGGCAGAGAAGTTAAAAGATCCTGGGCCTTATCTAGAACTTAATGGGGGTCAAGCTGGTTTACCAATGCGTAACCTTTCCATTAAGGTTGTAGTCCCCCCAATACAGCTAAAGCCCTTGTAGTCATTTTAATGATGCAGAAAAGGAAAATAAAAATTAAAGGGAATGGATTCTTCTCTCCATTCACTTGGGCTACAATTGCCAATTTCAGTTATTTGCTTTCAGTTTTATTTGTTTTATTTTCTCCGCTCCCCCAATACCTGATAAGAAAAAAGGGAGAATGTGGGGGGGAGATTAAAAACCCAGAGGGAAATTACAAGGCATGCCCCAGAGAAGTGAGGTGGGGTATGTAATGTCTTGGTTGCGAAAGAAATGTTGTGTGTGCAGGTTTTCTCATCCCCATGGGTATTTTATAGGCTTCCAGCCAAACTTTTTATTTTTAATTAGCTTGACTGTTGCAGTCCAAGCAGAACTAGTGGTCTGGGTTTCTATTCTGAGGCATCTTCAGAGTCTTTTAAGGCTGCCAATGTTCATACTTGACTGTATTCTTTCAGCCTTATTTCTGACTCTTAATGAACTCATCCCCCTCTCCTGTTTCTTTCATTCTAGATTTTCCTTTATGCATTCTTTCCTATCTGTAGATGTTTAGCGTAACAAGTCAGCTATATTTCAGAGAGAGAGAAGAGGGGAAGGGGGCAGAATGTATAGAAAATCAAGCAGAAAAAAATGCAATACAGTACAGTTTATTAATCAATAATAAATATTTGCTCCTTCAACTGTTATTTGTCTTCTCTATTTCTTTTTCAATGGTTTATGGAGAGAATAACCATTTTATCTTTAATTGAAATTCTGATGAGTGGAATCAGTGTTCCACAAACTTTCCATGGCCAACCATCTGCAGTTCTTTCTTTTTTCAAAGCAGTTTTTAGCCATTGCTAATTATTTTAGTTTCTGAAGAGGGAGCTATTAATGTTTTGTGCAATGTTGAACTACAGCTTTTTGCTCTGGAAGAAAATCTGATCTAGAATTACAGAGTCCTGCCCTCTCCTATTGTTGTTGTTGTTGTTGATTGCAAAGTCGTGTCCGACCCATCGTGACCCCGTGGACAACGTTCCTTCAGGTCTTCCTGTCCTCTACCATCTTCTGGAGTCCATTTAAGTTCTCACCTACTGCTTCAGTGACTCCATCCAGCCATCTCATTCTCTGTCGTCCCATTCTTCTATTGCCCTCAATCTTTCCCAGCATTAGGCCCTTCTCCAGTGAGTCCTATAGCTTTGAGCTGAATGTGATATGAGAATTTGATATTCTTAGTGGCTGACCCTGGAAATTTTGTAAACTGTTATTGCATCAGCATATTCTCCCACCTAGGTATTACATTTGATACCAAAATGGTTATAAAAGAAGGCTAAGAAAGGGTCCTTGTATACATTGTCATGAAAGCTGTAAATATAATCTACTAATCTAAGATTAAATCACATTAAACTAGATTATTTACCTATTGTGGACTTTTATAAAAGGCGTCTACCACATTTTATTAGAATGGGTGGAACAGATTAGATTTGTGCTAAGAGAAACACTTGGACCACAGGCTGAGAAGAACCTGAAGAAGCTAGCTACTGTATGCAGACTGATTTTTGATATGATGACTGAACAAATTCTGAGTCTTCCTCCTTTCCTTTGTTAGATGATTCCATCCATTCATCCATCTTTACCAAAAGGATAAACTTAAGCTGGCTACCAGATTTTGCACGCACACCCCTTCCCCAACTGCTAAATGCACTATAGCTGTGAAAGAGAACCTGTCAATGACTCTTTGAGGAAGTTCACATGTGCATATGAAGCAGCTCATCACTCACGTTAACAGATCTCTTGTGTATTTAATTCCTGCCCTTTTCTCAGTATGGGCTGCTTCATACATTGTGGAGTTCACAGAATGCCATTTTATGTGGGGAAAAGGTTACTGCTGTAACCCTGAAGAAAAGTTAAAGAAAATCCTGTTCTCAACTACAGAACAAACTGTTCTGCATGAATGACTTGCCATCTAATAGGGCTCCCATAGGAAGAGATTTAAAGTGACAAATAAATCAGAGCCGGCTCTTCTATTGAACAGTGTGTTGCAGTTTTGCTAGGAGCCTGGATTTGGGTATTGTGAATGAGCAATAAATCTAATGTATCTTTTACTGTGTTTTTACACTCAGGAAGAGAAGCCCTATTTGGCTTACTTGCCCCAAACACATGGGCTGACCTTAGGTATTCTGCATCTTAATTGGAGTGGGCACCATTTGTTATTCTGCATCAGGCAGCAACATTTTGTCAGCTGGCCCTGGCAGTTTACAGTTTTGATAAAAATGACTCGTGGGAGAGAAATAAATGAGTATAAAAAACAAAAAACAAAAACTCAACACCAGACAGAAAAAGGCCCTTTCCTCCTCATTTTCTCCCCATAACCTCTTATTTTGGATAGCTGAGAATTCTGTAATGTTTTTAAAGGCTGTGATTGACAAGGGTGGGCTGTATTTTTGAGGGAGAGCTTGCAGTAAATAGTGGCAGTTCAGGGACAAAACTCTGTGAGTTGGGGTGAATCTTGATCAGGAGGTGTCTGAATTTTACCTGGATTTTCATGCCAGTAAAGATTATCTGCCAGAACTAGATTGTACTGTGTTAGCAAAACAATACCTGGTTATCAACTTTAATTCTTTATTAGAAAAGTGGGAATTATGAAAAGATCCTTGGAAAGTTCCCTCATATTATACTTGTCCATATGCATAAGGCAATAGATTGTTCAGCCATGGAAAATATCTCTGTAACAAAATACCCTAAGCATTAGTTGAATTATATATACATATTTTTTTTAAAAAATAAAGACATTAAAATAGCTATTTAAATTTAAACATGGGTTGAAATGGGTATTGAAATGGTGAGTGGAAAGACAGGATTTGGGAGAAAGGAAATACTCTATTTTCCCAGACAAATATCAGATTGCAGATATATTTTATCTTGGAATTAATATGAAGTATATATGTATATATGAGGGGAGAAATTGTATTTTAAAGCTCACAGAATAAATCTAGTGAGGAGAGGGTTTTGCTGCTCTGTTTTGAACTATGGAAGCTGGACTGCTGTTTTATTTACCTTAGAAGGAGGATTTAACAAGCTTTGATAGGAGTGTTTTATTGCTAACATGGATCTGCTGACAGCCCAACTTTCTCTTAGTGCACTGAGGAAAAGGCTCAGCGGCTAGCAGTTCCCCATCATTGTCCTCGTGCAAAAAAGCAAATTTTCAAGAAACCTTCCAGGGCAAAAAGAAAAAGAAGCTGAAGGGAGGAGCTTCAAAGGAACACATTTGGCTGCCTATCTGGGCAAAGCATCCTTCGTGAACAGTCAAGCAGAAATCTT